ACTGGAAGCGGGGTGAACAACAGCTTCCACTGGGGTTGGATGAAGAGTCTGGCTAGCTAATCGGTGGAGTGGGTCCCGGGCCAGAGAGGGCCCCTCCGCTTTCTCCAATGCTCAGTGTGTGCCTGCAAGTGGTTCCCTAAAGATTCCCGCAGCGTGGGGCACCCTGGTTGCTGCCTCATCCACAGAACAGTGGGCATCTTGTGGGAGGTTGGGCAAGGGGATGATGGACCCCCTCAGTAGGTTGGCCTCTTTTCCTCTTTTACAGAGGACCTTCCTCCACTTGAAGGGCTATCAAAGAACAGTCCTCTCTTTGAACAGGGATTCTTTCGGAAGGGTGAGCCACATCTGTTTGGAAAGCAACAAACCCTAAGGGGGAGGGAGGTCCAAGACCTGAAACTTCCCATCATCCACCATGGAAAAAAAAAGAATAATCTACTTCCACAACCAAATATTTAAATCACCATGTGCAATTTTGCATAATTAGGAATCCTTTTTGGAGGTGAGTGTGGCCACCCAACATGTCGAACACTTTAGTATCAGAAAGGGCTGAGAGCGTGTTGTGGATCAGGGAACAGGAGCCCAGGATCTACTGGCCTTCTGTGGAATGGCCTGCCCTTGAATAGGAGCACTAATGATCTGACCAGACCACTTATTTATCGTCTGGTTTTCCACGAAAAGGGTGAGGGGGATCCATCGCGGGTGCCCACGGAAGGCCTCCTGCAGCCATCTCAGTCCCTTAGTGTGGGGGCTCTGAACTCACACCTCTTAATTTAGCCGGCTGCTGCTTCTCTGGAAGCCTCTCCTGGCACCCTCTGGGGAATTTTTATGAGTGGGATTTGCAGCAAGTATTTTGGGGGCCGGCCCGTTGCCAGGCGCAGAGGACCTGGAGGCACAGAAACCTTAGACTGGTGGCCAAGAGGCCGGGTCCCTCCTGGAGCCTATATTTAGCTAGTCTTGCTCAGCCTGCAATTTCCCCTCATCCACCATCAGCTCTAAGTAGAAAAGGCCCACCCAGAGACTTTGTCCGCTGTGGTTCCCTTGGCCCTTTGTGATACCTTGGGAACATTTCAAAATTCACATTCAAAAGCAGCTCCTTCCACCCAAACCAAGTACAGCCCCCAGCCAGTTAAAACCCAAGGAACCCCAGTCCTTTGCTCAAAAGACCTCAATCCTCACCTTTGCAGCCTCTCTGCCTTATCCTCTGAGTGGCACAGGGTGGGTAGCTCATGCACCACCAAAAGAGGATACAAGAGGACAATACTCTGAATAAAATGGCCTGTGCTAATTTAAAATTACTGTTTAGAATGTGAACAGAAGTACAATGCATTTCCTGACACAAGTGGCGAAGACTGTGGCCAGGAGACCTGTGTGGTCCTGTTGCCGTCTAGGTGCTGCTCCTGGCCCTGATCTCCTTCCCTCTGATGGGCTCTCCAGTTTAAAATGAGCCTTGGGTTGGTCCCCCCCCCCATAGCCCATTCTGACAGAGGAATGTTCACAGGCAACCACCTTTCAGTTGTTAGGAGGGTTCGCTAAAGGACACTATGCGGCTAGCCACCCTCGTGTGCTACAACCTATCTCAAGGAGTCCTTAATCCAACTGTTCCAGTCTCAGACCACGGAGCTTCTTGACGTGGCCTTCAGCTGCTCCACTTGCTTTCTAGCAGAAGGCAACCTGGGGGAGAAATGCAGAGCCCCCTCCCTGCTACCTGTCTTCCTCCCTCCTTTCCTGCTACTTTGTCCATAGAAAAAGGGCTTTGGTTCAGATCAAAGGAAGAAGCCAGCCTGGCACTGCTAATTATCTTGCACCAGAAATCCAGCAAGCCACCAAAACAAACATAAAGTGCTGTCTGACCTTCCAAAGAGGGTGTGAGCTGGAGGGTCTCCAGTATCAAAATTGATCTGCAGATGCCCTTTCATGGGTCAGCATGCGATGGGATGGGATGGGATGCTGGTGACAGCACAGAGTTAGCCCCGGTTGTTTACCTAAGCAATAAAGCTAAACAAAGTTTCATAATTGCCTCACTTCCTTTGTGAGCTCATCCACTCATGCAGAGTGCCAGATCCAAGAGAGCCAGTCCAGGCCTGATGAACCTGTGCATGGTTGCGTCTGTGTGTCCATGTGATGTCCAAGAAGATAGAGGATGCTATTTGTTAAAAAAAAAAAACATCACAAGGACAGAGTGGTGGGGGAAGCATCCCAGAGGACCAACGAGCAACCATCTTGCAGCTGAGGTCAGAAGGATAGCTCACGGAGAGTGACTGTTGGGCGTACATGGCCCAGGAGGGGAAGCATGTGCTTCCTTACAGAGCTGCCTGCTTCCAGATGCAGGGAGCTGGGGAGCAGGGAACCTTGCCAACTGGCTGCCGCTCCCGTCAGAAGCAGAGGCTCACGGGGCATCTGTGCAGGTTCCGGGCCTTGGCTGTAGGCAAATCCCTATTGACTTTTGGACGTGAAGCGAAGTCAGGCAATCCAGTCTATTGGAATTATTCCACCATCCTCAGGCTGTGCTTTTATTGGCCCGCTCAATATGCACAAAACTGGGCATGCTTTTAATACCAGATCCTTCTACGTGACTCGTGAGATTGTGCCATCACTCTTAATCCTCCAGGGCTCCTGTAGGGTGGTGCTCCTCCTTAGCGCCTGCTTGTCCAGAAACCTCCACTGCCAGAGATGGCTGAAAACCTGACCCTCTGTGCAGTTTAGACACGGGCAAAGCAAAGCAGAGAGGAGGGCAGCGACCCCCTTGGCCTCCCAGTGAAAGCTTGCAACCCGTCAGTCCGTCACTCTTGCTCCTCCTCAGTTGCCCCTTTGTGGGAAGTGCTCTTCAGCAACAAAGCCTCCACAATACACAAACACACACACACACACACCGGGCATGGTCAAAGGGCCTCTATGAAAGGCCTCCTCCATCCTTCACGGGATGCTCCTGGCAACAGCCGAGCTCCCTGTGGCCACGGCTTTTTTTATGGAGAGAGAATGCATCATCCAAGCGAGGAGGAGTCCCTGTTGAGTGCCGGCATGAATGACACAGCTCTGGGGCCGTCTCCTGTTTGCTGGGGGACTTTGTACAATCACAATGAGAGCTGCCTTACCCTCGGAGGAAGGCCACCAGAGAAACCTGTTGGATGTGCCAGAGGAAAGGCCGAGAGGCACTCCTCCTGTGCAGGCCACAGGGGATAAACAACATCTCTCTACGCACTCTTTCTATTCATGAAGAAGGCTTGGCTTCAGAGGACTGGATAGCCACGCTGAATGTGCCACAGGCTGCCCACAAGATTTGGTGTGCAAACATTACAGGAACCGAAGCAGCTGCCTTCTACTGAGCAAGATTTGGATTCCATCCAGCCTGGGACCGTCAGTCAACACTGACTGGCCGCTACCTCAGCTCTCCAGAGCTTCAGGCAGGATTTTTTTCCCTAGCCTTATCTAGATGTGTTGCCAGGATCATCGGGCTAAGCAGAGGTTCTGTCACGGAGCTGCAGCCCCTCCCTCTCATCTGCCCAGGGGAGTGGCAGCCATGCAGGGACTGCCTGTTAAGATGTTCCATAGGCAGGAGATGTCTTCATCAGCTATGGGGTGCCTCAGTCTCCGCCCTGGTCTTCTCCTGTCCTGGGGTTCTTGATGCACACAGGGCACCCCTGTCTCAAAGGCTGCCCTGACATCCGGACATCCCTTGCACTTGTGTCTCCTTGGACCAGGAGGCCCCTCCTTCATCACTGGTGTCAAGTGGCAGTCTTCATTGGGATTTTGACCTTGCTGGAATTTGCTTTGGGGGAGGGGGGAGGGGATGGATGGATGAACCGGGACACCCAACCACAGATTTTCCATTCAGATAAGCATTCGGACAACAGGTTCCATAGAGAGAATCAAATGTCCACGTCAGCTCATCTCCCCGTGTTACTCATAGGACCAGCCAGCCCATTTCTCCCTCCTTCCCTCCCTCCCTCCCTCCCTCCCCCAACATCTTCTCCGTTCCGGCCACCCTCTCTCCTGGCTCCCAATTCTTCCCCGAACCAGTTCCTCATTTCTCCTTGGTTACCCCCTGCCCCCCAGCCTGCATTTTATTCCACGATGGACTTTGGACTCATTAATTTTAAGACACTCTCCCCTGCAAAAATCTCACATAATTCTCCTCCACAAGATAGCTACCATTATGAATGGTGTCGGCTCCCTCAGTGGCTGGCAATTCATTCCTCCATTCTCTTCCCCTGATTTAATGACCTATTTGTATTCTATCAATAAATGAGGTCCCCAGCCCCCACCCTCCCTGAAATGGACGAAGCGGCCCTCTGCTCCAAGAGCCCAAGCTGGGGGAGGGAGGGGGAGGGGGAGAAATCCCATCATGGAACCCGGACGTCTGGGAGGATGCAATTTCTTGACTTATTGGCCTCTCCTCTCGGCTGCACTTGAATATTAAACGCTGTATTAATAGCTCACTCTTAATTATCCATGAGTAATGTACTACAACTGGAAAATTAATGGAGGGGAGCGCCACCAAAATGAGAATTTCTACTCACTGTCTCGGATATGTTTTCAAAGCAGGCTGTAGCAGACCAGTGTCGGCAGCCCCTCTGAAGGCCATCCACACAGAGGCCAGTGGGGCTAGACTGAGCTGGCGAAGAGGCCTGCTCTGGGCCACTTGAGCCCTCAGGAGCAGGTATAAAAACAAATGCTTCTCTTGAAACAGAAAGTGGGAGGGAGAGAGCAAGAGACACACACACACACACACATGCTGCATGGGGCCTTCCAAATACACGTATGTGCCCCCTTTCAGGAACTGGCCTCCAAGCAAAGGAAAAGCCAGCTGAGCTGATCTCCACAGCCTGGTCTCCCTGCAAGATGTCAGAAGATGTGAAACAGACCATACCTCTGAGCACCAACAGAGTCCTTTTTTGCATTCAACTGCTTATGGCTGGGTGGATACATCACTCTGCCCGGCCTGCGCTGTCCCTGAGACCCATGTCGCCATGTCGTCTGTCTGTCTCTTCTATCTCTCTTACCTGAAAACATGGTAGCTCCATTGCCAGAGTCTGTAGAGATCAGCCCCCATCTCCTCTCCGAGCAGCAGATCGAGGCTGTCGTGATCCTGCTCCTCTGCTGTTCCTGTGAGTTCCCGACCCTCCCACTTCCTGATTTCATTGCCATGCTCTGGTAGTAAGTCGTAGTAGGCAGTATTGCTTTATGTTCCTGCCGGTTTCACTTTTTCATCCATCACTCTGTTCACCTATGGCCTTCCCTGGAAAGAGGCAGATAAAAAGGATGGTTCTTGATCACTCTCAGCAACTCATGGTCTCTGGCACATGGACAAGACCTTTCCTCTCCCGGCCCACCACCGCCTGCCCTTCCACATATTGGCCTGGGCCCTTCTTCCACACATTTGGGTGCAGGTACAAGGCTGGCACTTCTATTGACTCAAGCGAGAGCCACAGGCTTCCTCCTGAGGGGTCTGTCCTGTGCATCCCAAATTTCACAGGCATTCAGTTTGCACGCTGGCTCCCTTTCTGTGTCTGCTGACAGGAGCTGACCCCTTGCAGCAAAATGCAGAGCCCTGAGTTGACCCTCTTCCTCCTCCTCCTCCTCCTCCTCCCCCACGCACCTCCTTGTTGTTTCCCCTGCTCTGCCCTGTCACACGGGCAGGCACAACCCATCCTGACACCCTCTTCGGCTTTCTTGTGTCCTGAGGCAGGTGAACGACGTGGATCCGCAATATGGCCCAATCCCACCCCAGCTGGCTGCCTCCGCCCGAGGCAAGCTGTGAGACGGTACAGGGTGTCTGCTAAATGCTACCTGCGGGGGGGGGGGGGGGAATATTCTCCTGCCATGTGGAATTAGAGGCAAAGCCTTGCTGAGATGTGCAGGCCTTCCCCAGAGTCTGCTTTTGGGCATTCCGATTAATGGTGGCGACAGGGAAGAAGAAGTTGCCACTTCTCATCCTGACTCCCTCTTCTGGGGATGAGCAGATGACGGGTGGCAGAGTCAGTCTCTGCTTCATTGCCTCCAGCTCTGGCATCCACACTGCTTGGCCCCCTGACCTGGGCACCTACTTGTGTGTGTGTGTGTGTGTGTGTGTGTGTGTGTGTGTGTGTGTGTGTGTGTGTGTGTGTGTGTGTGAGTGAGTGAGTGAGTGAGTGAGTGAGTGAGTGAGTGAGTGAGTGAGTGTGAGTGTGTGAGTGTGTGTGTGTGTGTGTGTGTGTGTGTGTTACTCTCTCCTGCTGCCATCTCTCTGCCTCTCCATATCAGTCTCTCTTCCCCTCTCCCACTCTGGGGAAGAAGGATGACGCACACACACACCCTATAACATCCATTCCTTTGGAGTCAAGACCTAGGTAGCTGTCTGCCCTATGGGCCAGGAGGCAGACTTAGGGTGGCCGCCTACCCATCTTCTTTTAGTGGGGGAGGTCCTCTACTTGAAGTGTCACCCAATCCCCATCTGGGAGTAAGATCTGAGGCCCTGAAAGTTGTCCGTCATGCAAATGAGTAAAATGCATTGCAATTCTGCCTCAATTGTTAAAATCATGGGCAGTTGTACATTTGTGTATCTCAAGCAGGAGAGGCAGTTGCAAGCAAAGTAGTGCCTTCTTTGGTCATTCTGTTTAAAGGGTGACAGGTCACTGACCATCCAAGGTGGGCTACATCCTTCTGCCAGGGGCAAGTTCCCACCCCACTTCCTGTTCCTCATCCTGACAGGACACAAGCACAAGTTCCTACCGAGATGCAGCACAACAAGGGGGCATAACAAAAACCAAACAAAAACCCAAGTTTTGAGAGCACTGTTGAAACTAAGAGATTTACTTCAAGGCGCGCTTCTGAGGATTGCAGTCCTCCTTAGGAAGAAGACTGCAATCCACCAAAATCAATCAGTGAGGCTTCAAGGTGCCACAAGATTTTGCTTTTTTGCTTTGCTTTGTTTCATTTTTGTTGTGCACGCTGAAACAGGCAAACACACACAAGAAAACAAAGAGTGCTCCCCATCAGGAGGCATATGTGTATTCAGACATGGATCCTCCTTTCTTAAAACCTGCAGAGACAGAGTTTTTAGGTTCCAATTTGAAACAAGATGTTTAAAGGTCCATGGACTGGAGAGGTGTTCTTCTGGGAAAGTAAATAAAACACAACCATCCTTCTGCATTTTCATCTGAAGAAGGAAGGAAGGCCGTGAAGATATTTTTAGAATTCCCTAACCCCCAAGCCCTCTGTTCTGGATCTTGAGAAGCGCTGTGTGGCTGGTTCAGTCACCCAGCCCTTTGCAAAGAGCAGGATCCATTCCTCTCAGATCCCAAAGCAATTCTGTCTTCTGGGCAACTTGTGGTGCAGCTGCGATGCGTGAGCTTGAACCACCGAGTGGAGTGGAAGGCTCGTTAACGCTTCAGCGGCGCCATCTTGTAGGTGCCCAGGGCAGCACTCTGGAGAGCGACGTCAAGCAAGAGCATCAGTGTGAGCACCAGCTCTGCCCACCCGAGACAGCAGCACCTCAAAGGCAAGGACAACCAGGGACGTTGCTAACCCAAGGGGGTCCCCCCCCCACAAAGCAAGTAGAGAGAAACCAAACACGCTGGTGGTGCTCGCACCCGCTGCTCCAGCCCCAGTGGAGCCTCCAGCTGCTCTCAAGTGCACCTTGGGACGGCTTTTCAAAGAGGAGACAGGCTCCTCCCGAGCAATACCGTACTTTTCAAAATAATAGTAAGAAAAATAGTTCCAAGTAACCCCAACTTTGCCCACAATACCTCTTGATGCAGAACAGGACAGTTACTTACACATTCCTTATCTATTGAAGGGAAGGGAAGGGAAGGGAAGGGAAGACCAACCTAGTGGAATCTAGGCTATGGGCCTATGCCAGACTCAGCAGCAGCAGCCGTTGCCTCCAGCATTTGGGCTGAGTCATTTCCTGCAAGGCCGGCAGGGGCGAGACGCACTCAGTCCTGCATACATCTCTTAAGAAAACCAGGAAATGGTCAGGATCAGCCCAGGTCCTAATCAGCTGAGCATGCAGTCATCTTGAAAGAAGGCAGGCAGGTGTGCTCAAGGTCACAAACTACTCTGTGACACACACACACACACCCATCATATTACAAAAGGGTGCAACAAAGCTTTCCAGGCCTGTGGGGCGGGGAGGTTACTCCCTGCCAGCAGCCCCAATATATGCTCAATTCCAATGCTGCACAAGAGAATCAGAGCAAAAAGTTCCTTACAAAAGTTCCTTTGGAGAAACACCTCCTGGAATCCATCAGCCAGCATGGCCGATAGTCATGGCCTGAAGCTTCGAGAGAGTGAGCGAAGACAGACAGAGCAGAAGGCTCTCTTCTTTGCCATCCCTGGCAGCAAGGGGGGGAGGAGGAAGGCTGGGTGCAGGCAACAGTCAGAGTTTGAATTACACAAGGTGGTTCACAGCCAGATCCATGGGGATCATGTAGCCAGGTGGGGAGAGGTCCTACCAGGAAAGAAACAGGTAGCTGAGTCAGGCAGAGAGCATCTGTGTCTGAAGGAGAGAGGAGCGAGAACAGCTACACATCTCTTGGGGGAGGAGGCAAGCGCAGCAAAGACCACCAGGGCACCACATGGAGGAGGGAAGGAGAGGCGGACAGGTTTGGGGTGAGCATCTGATTCTGATGTTTCATCCTGCACAGAGGACCATGTTCCCTTTAAAAGATGGCCAGAGGGTGGCCCTCTTTTTGAGGGCATGTCCTCATTTGATCTGACTAAGAGACAGGCATCTTCTCCACTCAAGTGAGATCCGTGGTCATTTGGTTTATGCTCTGAAAGAGTAGTTTTAAACTTCCCACCTAAATTCGCACATGCAGCTTTATGCAAAGTGCTGGTGTCGTTTGTTCTCTTTTTGGGGGGATGTGTCAGGTGCCACCCCAGTGAACTAGTGCATATTAAGGCACCAGAGCACACCTGTTTCCGTTTCTCCTGCTTGGAGGGCAGGTAAGCACCTTGGACACCCACCTGGGATTAGGGAAGGGGGCTACCAGGTAGGGACCTCCTTGCCTCTTTCTATGGGGCCCTTTCCTCGCAGGTTGGGCTCCCATGCTTCTGTTTAATCAGGCCAGTTACAGCAAAGGATGCCTCCCTCCCTCCCTCCCAGCCGACAAGGGCTTCTGCTGGTGTCTGTGCAGATGCCCTGTCACGGCACAGCCGAGTGCGGATGTTCCTGATCATTTCTGATATCCAGCCTAAATTAGGCCCTCGGCAAAGATGGCGGCCTGTGAACCCCAGATCTGTCAGTCACAGTTACAGTCAGCCAGGCTGAGGCTTTGGGCTGGCTGAAAGCAAGGAGAAAAGGAGGACCAGATCCGCTTGTGGCAGGGTGTTCAATGGGTTTGCCTGGCTCAGTGGAACTCTCCTGGATGGGGAAGCCTCCCCACCCACCCCCCTTCATGTGAACAGCAAGCACAGTGAGGACTAGTGGCTTGAACTGGTGAGAAGAGAAGACACTCCATGTGTGAGCAGAGAAAATATGTAGACAGATCTGCTTGCAGTCGGGCAATACACCCGGGGAGGGGTGGAAAAGTGGGATGGCTCAAGGACTGGGGCAAGATGGGGTGTGTGCAAGACACAGAGGAGCAAGCGCAGTGCCCCTTACCTACGGCACAAGTAGGCAGTATAACAAGCAGCCAAGCAAGAGCAAGCACATGGCAACCATTGACCCATCACCAGAACGGAGGGCTCAAGAAGACTCTGGTTTGCCTTGGGGGCACAAAGGCAGAGCTAGAAACGATGTTTATAACCAAAACAGAATTACAAGGTGTCTTATTTGAGGGGGAGGCCAGGGACCGGGGATCTGTGCATTTCTTGCTGTGGAGTCTGCTGTGGATGATGGGCAACATCCAGGCCCCCCCCATATCTCCTTCCAGAGGTTGTGGGTCACCATCCAAAAGTAAAGACACACAGCTACCTTAGAAGAGCTCAGGAGTTCTGTTAGGGTCGCTCTGTGCCACAGCCCACCCATCACTCCTGCTCTTGGGACTAATTGCTGCCGTGCAAGGAGGGGGCCTGGTCCTCCCTCTCCTTTGCCCCCTCCTCTCCAGTGGGGAGGCCCACAAAGCTGCCTGACAGGCCTTCCATTGTGGCCTGGTAATTGGTACTTCTTGGGTGGCTGAGGCCCAGGAGGCCGTTTGGCTGGCCGGCAGCAGGAGGGAACGGAAGAGGGAGGGAGGGGGGGCTTTGCAACACCAACCCCACCGGACTGCTTGGCGGCTGCTTGATGGATAGGCCAAGAGAGTCCAGGC